CTTTGACAAAAATCCTGCTACTGACCAATTTAGTCGACGCCAAAACCCTCCTTTGCCAGCCTACAAGCCAGAAAAAACAAGAGAAGAGATGGATTATACTTAACAAGCAATTGAGCTGAGACAGCGCTTCATATGACGGCTGTTTTGTTTTCCTTCTCTGCGCTAGTTATCAGGGATTTGGCACAGTGGTCAGTACAGTAGCGGCCGATGATATGATTTCAGACCATCAGCAGTTCCTCTTTTGACTATTATGACACTCACCATCCATCTTAAGGCAAACATGGGTCAGACAGAAACTCAATCCTTAAGGATGAATGTCACAAAGGTCAGTTTGCACTCAATGTCCCAGAGAAAGGTGATACACATGCATTATTGAATCATAAGCTGATGCGCAAAAAGGAAAATAATGTGTCTTTGACTTGACATTACGAAAAGACATCGCCGTTACGAAAGCCCTGTGAACTGAAGAAACACAAGACATTCTGATGTGCAACACAGTGAAATGGACACAGGTACATACATACACGAAATACATCACACTAGGACACATATGGGACAGTGAGAAAGACAAACAGTAAATACGTATAATGCTTTAATGCACAAATTTGGTGGAGAGTGTGGGTAAGCTGAGCCACTTTGGAGTAGTTTTCTAAATGAGATGAGAAACATCATCAATACTGTGTCAAGCCCAAAGAAATATGGACTTAAAATAATTTACATTAAAAAAAGTATAAGGTACCATCCCTTTCTAAACCGAATATTTGGATATAAAATCAAATCAATTCAAATTTGAACTTGATATCACAAAACTGTCTGTCCCAGTACCACATCTATTACAAAACAAACACTCAGAATAAAACCTTGACCAAAAGACCTTCCCATATACAGTTGAAGTCAGAATTATTAGCCCCCTTTGATTTTAATTTTCTTTTTTTTTTTTTTTTTTTTTTTAATTCGGCAAGAATAAAAGCAGTTTTTAATTTTTTAAAAGCCATTTTAAGGACAAAATTATTAGCCCCTTTAAGCTATACTTTTCCTGATAGTCTACAGAACAAACCATCATTATATAATAACTTGCCTAATTACCCTAACCTGTATAGTTACCTTAATTAACCTAGTTAAGCCTTTAAATGTCACTTTAGTCTGTATAGAAGAGTCTCAAAAAATATCTAGTCAAATATCATTTACTGTCATCATTACAAATATAAAAGAAATCAGTTATAAGAAATGAGTTATTAAAACTATTATGATTAGAAATGTGTTGAAATAATCTTCTCTTTGTTAAACAGAAATTGGGGAAAAAATAAACAGGGGTGCTAATAATTCTGACTTCAACTGTATGTTTTGTCAACACCCATTAGGAGGAGAGACTTAGTAGAAGGTTTTAAATAAAATTTTCACTAATAAAACCATTTTGAAATTGAAAATTGCTTTAAAAGGATCAGCTATTAAATATTTAATTCAGGATGATTAGTAAAATATGTAATAGAAAAAATACTTAAATGTGCCAAATACTGACAGTTAAGACGCTCTAATAATCCACAAATTTACTCTAAAAGATGACTATAATAGCACTGAAGTTATTTCAGCTATATTTATGTTAAAACATGGTAAAATTTTTGACAAATTAGATAAACATTAAAAAAAATTTAAATCTTAAAATAGACGCAAATAAAAATTCTAATGTCAGTCTGTAATCTTGTTCTGACATAAAATACCATTTTACTGAAAAACTGTGTCACACGAGATAGAATATGATGGACTTAATCACATTTTGGTCAGAAAACCGAGTGGCCCATTTTACCCCATTCTCCCATATATCAAATGTGGAGTAAAGTTTGAAGAAATGTACATAAAACGTTTTTATAGCATTGTATCCATCTTACATGTGACTAACATTTCATTGCAATCCTTACTCCAGATTTGTCACATGCTTACGTAAAAAATAAACAAATAAACACATCCCTGTTTTAAAAATGTTTTGGATGCTCTCACCCTACCTGGCACACAGACTACGAAAAGTCAGTCCTTTCCGTCGTTTTGAAATCTTCATTTGGGACCTCACAGTGACACAAACCATCAGCTGGGAGCGTTTTTAAAACCATAAACGGCCTTTTCTCTGCATTGTGTTACTAACAGTCCTTCTTTCAAATATTCAGTCAGCAGAGGCTAAAATATTAGCGATTATACAATCAAAAACGCAAATTAATCCACTACGCGTCACCATTTAAAACCTTCAGTCATAATGCCCTGCAATCTATAAGACAGCCTCAAAAACACCCACTGTAAACGTACTTGATTATCTTAACGCAAACATAAACAGAAAACTAAACAGAAAACAATATATTATTGAAACAAAGGTCCAAGGTTAAAGCATATATACAAATGTGGCACGTGACACGTGCTCTATTCTAAATAAACGAGCATCACAGTGTTAACAGCTTAGCGGCGGAGAATAAAACAGCACATCAATATTATCCTCTCTAGACATTCGACACAACCAACGCATTTTTTGGTAAACAAACGCCACAGCTCGCCTCTCGCGACTGTCCGGTCGCGCATCCTTTGCGCTGGTCCGCACTGCAGCGCATCTAACACCCATGCAGTGACTCTGTACAATCTGTAGAGGACGCTTTCTGGATGAATATTCACTACGTTTCCTGACGTTCGACGAAAGCAACTGCGTGATTGGGTGACAGAAAGACGCTGCGCTACTCAGCTAACGAATCATACAGCGAGGAGCGCTTAGCTTATGAATATTAACTACGCTCCAGGAAGATAAGCAAGCAACGTTGCCAGCACCTAGTTATTATTCATAAGCTATGCCTTCAGCGTAGTAGGATTTGTTATTTCGCCTGCTGGCTACACCCGTTTGTCAGTATACAATTTGTGTAGTTATATAAACTACTGAAAAAAGAATACAAATCAATCTTTTAAATGACAAAACCCTGGCAGGTTCATTAGGCCAACGTAAACAAACCGACAAGCGCATCCACAGAACTACAAACTGAAGCGAATATACAACACCAAAGGTTAGTTCAGTTAAACCGGTGGTATATTAGCACTTAACATATTTCACATTCGCCTAAAATGATACACAGGCCACATACAGTACGCAGCAGGTTTCAATTTGAGTCCCGTTTTAAAATGACAGCGCATCTTCAATAGGAAAGGCCTGCCTTTATAGGACAAGCCATATTGTGCCATAGCGAGATTGAAAGATGAAGCGCGTATTACCTGCTCATTTTCTTATGTAGGTATGGAGGTTCATAACCCCTTTTCCTCCGTCAGGATACTCGTTAAACCTCTCTCCACCATTGCTAATGACGCTGGATGCTCCCTGGTTTTGCTCCCCGCCCGTCTGGATCCCAGCATCAGCACCACACATCACTCTTCCTCTCTGACCTCCAGCACAGCCATGATGAGCCTCTACAGACAGTATTCCGCTCTCTGCTGGTGAGCTCCTGGCAGCACATTGTAACTTGAAGCAATTTATAAGTCATACATAGTGAAGTTCAGTTCTTAAAGGGACAGTTCATCCAAAAATTATTTGATTATTCACTCACCCTGCACTTATTTATAAACCTTTTTGAGATTCTTTCTTCTGTGAAAGACAAAAGAAGATCTTTTTTTTTTTTTTAATATTAAGAACCATTACATATTTTTCCTACTGTGGAAGTCAATGGCTACCAGTTTTCGAACATACTTCAAAATATCTTCTTTATGATCCAACAGAAAACATGAACTTATAGTTTTGGAACCATTTGAGTGAATGGTGTGCAAATAATAATAATAATAATAATAATAATAATAATAAAACATTTTATTTAAAGGCGCCTTTCTGGCAACTCAAGGACAATGTACAATAAAACAAGAGCAATACAACACAGCAATAGTGCAGATAAAATTAATTAATTAAGTATTAATAGCCATCTTAAATAAGTGAGTTTTTAGTCTTGATTTGAATAATGTAAGGGAGTCAATGTTTCTGATGGCAAGTGGTAGTGAGTTCCGAAGCCGGGGAGCAGAGCAGCTGAATGCTCTGTTGGCCATAGATGATAGACAAGCAGAGGGAACAGACAAGTGGAGGGAGAAAGAAGATCGCAGGGTGCGAGAAGGAACAGAAACGTGGATGAGGGCAGACAAATATGGAGGGGCGAAATGTGAATGGCTTTGAATGCTAACATACAAAATTTTAAAATCAATTAGAAAAAAAACTGGTACCCAATGAAGCTGCTGCAGGACAGGGGTGATGTGATGAGAAGAAGAGGTTCAGGTGATGATACGGGCAGCTGAGTTCTGGACCAACTGAAGCTTATGGAGTGATTTTATGAGTGAGACCAAAGAGAAGGGAGTTGCAGTAATCTAAACGAGATGTGACAAGGCTATGGACAAGAACAGCAGTGGCATGAGGGGTAAGAGAAAGGTGGAAATGGTTAATGCTGAGTAGGTGGAAGTAAGCAGACCGGGTGATGTTATTGATGTGAGAATTAAATAATAGGGTGCTATCAAGGATGATACCCAGACTCTTAACCTGTTTAGAGGGATAAATTGAACAGTCATCAATAGAAAGAGAAAAGCTGTTAGTTTTGCGGAGTGTTGATTTGGTTTTAACAAGCAAAACCTCAGTTTTTGAACTATTTAATTTGAGGAAGTTAAGAGAGAGCCAAGATTTGATTTCTGCTAAGCAGACTGTAAAAGATAAAGGTAGAAAATAAGAAGATTAGTATTCATTTTCGTTTGAACTGTCCATTTGTTTTGATATAAACAAGTCTCTGTATTTTGTATGTGTATATTCGTATTATTTTTATTTTAACTGGGATGTGTACACATTTTTACTGTGGGGAAACAATCCCTGTTGGTCATATATTACATTTTCGTTTTCTCTAAAAACATATACTGGTTTGTATGTAATAATATATAGATACAAACATTGATTACAAAACACTTTCTAGACTGAAATAGAAATAACAGTGGTCCACATATCAAAGTGTGTATAGTAAAGCTTATCAAACATTTAATACATATAAAGAATCTTTGATACAAATTGTATTTATATATTTACATGTTTGGGGGAGTTTTTTGTAATAATTATTTTTCATGTTGTTTATACGGAATCAAAAACAGGGTTTGAGAAGTTGGTGTTGTCTAGTTCCTCTTCATTGAAGTCTTCAGGACGAAGATCTGTTTCAAACATCCGCTGTAAAAGACCATCCACAGTTCTGGATCCTGAAAAAATAAAGTAAAATAAAAAATTAGGGCATAAAACTAAATTTTGTGTAAAAATAAACAAAATAAACTAAATAAAAATAAATAATAAAATAACTTTTAAACAAAACAAATAAAAAACTATTAAAAGCAATAAAAGAAAATACAAACAATTTAAAAAATGTGGGCAATTTAAAAAACTATATAAATAATAAACTAATTGAAAATATATATTTTTAAAATTGTGTGTGTGTAAGGGGGTAAATACAATAAATTATAAAAATGCATTAAACAACTAAAATAAATACTAAAAAAATATTCAACTGAGAAATGAATAAAATTAAAAATTAAATACTTCTGGAAGCAATCTTGAACATAAGTGAGGGCTTCCGTTTGCCATCTTCTGAAGATCCCAGGTCACTGTCATTGGTTTCCATTGCATCTACAAGACCAGTGTCCACACCATCTCTGCCAAACACAAAACCACGTACACTTCCTTCATTACAACAGCAACAGGAAACTGCCTAGACATGCATGCAAAAAAAAAAACAATTACTTAACCAAATATCTTGATAGTAAATCTGAACAGGACTTACTGTTGAACATTAAGCTCCAGCTCCTCGATCTTCTTCTCCAGAGAAGTCTGCAGTTCACTTTTGTCAACTGTATATTCCACCAAGAAGGCCTCCAAAATAAATGCGACAAAGATACTGTGGGAAATAAATATAAACATTTGAAGTCAGAATTATTAACCCTCCTGTAGATTTTTTTCAACACATTTCTAAACATAATAGTTTTAATAACTAATTTCTAATAACTAATTTATGTTTATTTTTCAATGATGACAGCACATAATATTTGACAAGAATTTTTTTTAGGATACTAGTATTTAGCCTAAAGGACATTTTAAAGGCTTAACTAGGTTAATTAGGGTAATTACTGTAGGCAAGTCATTATATAACGATGGTTTGTTCTGTAGACAATGGAAAAAAACAACTAGTTGGTGGGTGGGAGGTAATAATATTGACCTTAGAAAAAAATAGTTCTAAGGTGGTTTTAAAAAATAAAAAAACTGCTTTTATTCTAGCCAAAATAAAATTAAAAACACTTTTTCCAGAAAAAAATATATTATAGGAAATACTGTGGAAAAAATTCCTTGCTCTGTTAAACATAATTTGGGAAATATTCGAAAGAAAAAGAAAAGAAAAAAATCAGAGGAGGGCTAATAATTTTAACTGTATATAAAAATACTCACATTATGCATTTTTTACATTATTCAAACAGACAGTCGCCATTCTTACTTGATTATTATAATAACGACCACAATGTGAAAGATGACGAAGAAAAGTCTGGCCGAAACGTGTGTGACTGCTGTGAAACCGCTGGTCAGGAGTAAAGCAGAGTTAAGAGAAATAATCCAATACATGATAATGAACTTTCAAAGGCCTCAACCTACAACCTAATACAGTGGAAGTCAGAATTATTAGCCCGCCAGTATATTTTTTTCCCCAATTTCTGTTTAACAGAAAGAAGACTTTTAGAACATATTTCTAAACATAATAGTTTTAATAACTCATTTCTAATAACTGATTTCTTTTATCTTTGCCATGAGGACAGCACATAATATTTTGCTATATATTTTTTTAAGATACTAGTATTTAGCTCAGTGACATTTAAAGGCTTAACTAAGTTATTTAGGTACATTAGGCAAGTTAGGTTAATTAGGCAAATCATAAATGGTTAAAAAAAAAAAACTTTACATGTTTTTGTAATAAATGAAACACTACTTTTATTCTAGCCTAAATAAAAAATAAGACTTTCTTCAAAAGAAAAAAGTATTATCAAAAATACTGTCATAAAAATTCCTGGCTGTTAAACATCATTTGGGAAATATTTGAAAAAGAAAAAATTCACAGGAGGATAATAATTTTGACTTTGACTGTACATTATTTTTTTAAGCACAAATACAGTTTGATCATAAAGGATATCATGCCACTGATTAACCACAGTGAGTTCCAGCAGGAGGATGAAAGAAGAGATCACGTCGTTGAAGTTGTTCTTGCAGTAGTTGAGTTTAGCAAAACTGGTAGATTTAAGCAGAGGGTTCCCACAGTACTCTCGATCGGGACTCGTAGAGTTCGGTTCAAAAAACTGGATTTTGCCTTTAAATAATTCCATCCCAACCATGGCAAAAATATAATAGACCACCTATAGGGGGCCAGCAGAAGATTTATAGTAAATAAACAGGAGCATTCATAATGATAATGTTTCTCATCATAAATTATTGGAGATTAATATGTAGAATGATGAATTTGATGATTCTGTCTCTGTCCTTGGATCATACAATTAGTAAAACATTGGAGCATTGATAAGGTGCAGTCATAAATCAAACACTGCATCCTCCACCCCCACAAAGTGTCCTTGAGGCAGGGTATGGTGCAGTATAAACAAATCACCAATGATATTTTGATGGAAGCTTGACATAGGTCAGCCATTCCTTGCTCTCCTGCCACAATTTTCCATGCCTCCCCAAAGGAATGTTTTACATTTGAATGCATTTAGTAAGATATTTAGTATTTAAAATTTAGTATTTTATGTATAGTAATGTTAAGTATTTTTAGCATTTAGTGCCTGTCTATGGAATGCAATACACATCTCCTTGTAAGGTAAAGGGGAAGTAACTGATGATAGAAATTCAATTTTTGGGAGAAATAATGCTTTATTTGCAAATATCTGATTAGCCAATCACATGCCTGCAACTAGATGAGGTCAAGAGGATCAGTTGAAGTTCAAACAGAAAAATCAAAAATGAGGGAATGAAAGGTGTTCAAGTTAGGAGTTTTTATGTTAAAGGTATCTATATAATTTATTTTCCCTAAAGACCCAATCAAATATGAAATGCATTAAAATATTATTAGAAAAGTTTAATTTACATTTTTGTTAATTATGTTTTCCTTACTAATTACAGCACTTTAAGCACATTTGCATGTTTTATTTAAATCAAGCTGTATTTTTTATTTATTAAATATTTGTAATATTTATAAATTAAATATTTTTTATTCAATTTCACTTATTTTAATCGAATAAAATATTCACATTGTTTTAAATATATTTTATTTTAATTATAAAATATGTGAATAATAAAAGAATTGTGATTTATTTCTTCGTTACTATGTTTACTAATCTAAATAGAATCTTTTTTTATTTTATTTTAATCCTACTTACAGGAAAAAAAAGTAAATGATTACAGATTTTACATGTTTTTTGTGAAATCCATAAATACTCACCAGTATGAGTTGACCAAATGTAAGAATAGTTGGTCCAATTTTAATAAGAGTATTAATGATGGCTCGGAATCTACAAAATTGAAAGTATTTTTAAAATAGAAGCATAAAAAGACATTTTATTGTCTGTTTTGTGTTTGGCTGTAAGTAACTGACCTCTTGATGGAATCCACAACACGTATGAGCCGAAGTACTCGCAAGATAAAAACAATGTCCAAAACCTGACGACTCGTGTAACCTCCAGCTGCAAATGAACATTTGCCCCATTACTTACAAGGATAAATACAAGAATTCTTACTATAAGCTTTGTTTATATTAAACTTAACAGCTCTGACAGAACTTTTAGAAAATACTAGGAGCCCAAATACCCTGTAAGAATAATAAAAAAAACTTCTAATGTAAGTGCTTTATTGTGTAATGTGCACATTTACAGTACACTTACAGTGTTTGAGTGCTGAATTAATGATGGTGCCAAAGAGAGCAGACACAACAATGATCGTATCAAACCTGTAACAGAAAGAGAGAACGATGGGATTAAAATTATATATGCTCACACAGATGAAGTTATACATAACTATATTGGTGAGCCATTTAAAATAGGAAAGGAATTTAAAAAAAGTGTTAAAGATGCAGAACGTATGATTGACACCTAGTGGTTAAACTAGGTATTCAAAATATTATCATTCATTTATTCATTCATTTTCTTTTCGGCTCAGTCCCTTTATTAATCTGGGGTCGCCACAGCGGAATGAACCGCCAACTTATCTAGCATATGTTTTACGCAGCAGATGCCCTTCCAACTGCAACCCATCTCTGGGAAACATCCATACACTCATACACACTCATTCACACACATTCACTACGGCCAATTTAGCCTACCCAATTCACCTATACCACATGTCTTTGGACTGTGGGGGAAACCGGAGCACCCAGAGGAAACTTACACAGAGAGAACATGCAAACTCCACACAGAAATGCCAACTGACCCAACCGAGGCTGGAACCAGCAACATTTTTGCTGTGAGGCAATCGTGCTATCCACTGCGCCACCCTACTAGGTATTCAAAATATTATTATTATTTTTTGTTTTATCTGACCCCTTCTCCTCAGACTTGACACTCATGCAGGTTGCCAGATTGAAGACAGCAAAAGCAGCGAACACACCTTATACTTTAAACTGCTCAGCTAATGTTTACAATTGTAATATTTGTATTGTTTGTTAACTAAAAAGCACCTCAAATGGATTTTTATAAAGGAGGCTGCTACTGTCCTCTGGAGGTCACATTTTCAGATTCACATTGAGGCAGCCTACATGATTGAAATAAAATAAGCTGTTTTCTGTTTTTTTGGGGTTTAAAACATAATTGGGTAAAACTGGTAGTGGGCAGGTTACAGAGATCAAAACAAAGACAGACATTCCAACATGGAATGCACATTTTCAAAGGAGAATAAAAAAAATGTAGCATTTTTTTTTTTTAGATAAACAAGTATGCTCTCTTAGCATGTTTCCTAAATAGCTGCAAACATAATGTGGTATTGTTATGTTTAGAAGTGTTAAAAACCTGCATACAGCACCTTTAATACATCATAACACAACTTCCTCACCAGTTCCAAAACTGATGTCGAGCAAAGAACGCCCGAGGCTCGGTGGCGTACAGTTTGAGAAGGATTTCCAACATATAAAGAGCCAGAAAACCCCACTCAGCATTCGATACCACGGGGTTCTCCTCATCCAGACCAATGAACACAGCATTCACCAGGATAATCAGATCATAGGCATATACAAACACTCTGAAACAGACAAACAATGCAAACTGATGATCAAAGGGAATGCATGCATGCAACATATGCATTATGTTCTTAAATGTAATAAGGAATACAAACAGACTTGTTGTCCAGAAATTGTGCACGTTTTGTATCAATGCAAATTGTACCTGTGATGCACCATCTGCCGGATGAATCTGCTGGGTAGGGAGTTGTACAGAGAGGGGAAACAAATCTGAATTGGATGTGCCTGTGACTTCACCGTGATCACCTGGATACTTAGAAGATCGGCCAGCTGGACAAATGCAAACTTTCCTTTTTGAACAAAACAAACAAGATATTATTAATGAAAAAACTGAGCAATGTGTAAAATGGCTGACAAATAGAAGCAGCTGAGTATCAGTCTGACCTATGTGTCCTTTATTCTGATCATCTAAGACACTCCAGAGCAATTCCCGGTGAGCAGTACTGATTTTCGGCTTGACGAGTTTAACCAGATGGTTCCAATTGGCCTGGGTCACCACGGGCTCTCCACCTTCACCCCGGTTCTCCTGAAGCAAAGAAAACGCCCGGCACATCTTGATTCTTTTAGCCTTCACAAGCTGCCGCACTTCCTCCTAGAAAACATGACAGAAACTAGGTTAGCTTTGCACTACAGATGATAGATAGACAGACAGACGGACGGACGGACGGATGGACGGATAGGATAGATAGATAAATGGATAGATGGATGGATGGATGGATGGATGGATGGATAGGATAGATAGATGGATGGATGGATGGATGGATGGATGGATGGATGGATAGTTGATGGATGGATGGATAGGATAGATAGATAAATGGATAGATGGATGGATGGATGGATGGATGGATGGATGGATAGTTAGTTGATGGATGGATAGGTAAAGAGATGGATGGATGAACAGAGATAGAAAGATGGATGGTTGGACAGAGGTAGGGATGGATAAATAGATAAATGGATGGATGGATGGATATGTAAAAAGGTGGATGTATGGATGGATGGATAAATGGATAGATAAATGGATAGATAGATAGATGGATGGATGGATAGATAGTTAGTTGATGGATGGATAGGTAAAGAGATGGATGGATGAACAGAGATAGAAAGATGGATGGTTGGACAGAGGTAGAGATGGATAAATAGATGAATGGATGGATGGATGGATATGTAAAAAGGTGGATGGATAGATAAATGGATGGATGGATGGATGGATGGATGGATGGATGGATAGATAGAGAGATTAGGAATAACAGAACAAGAATGAACCAAATGAGAAAAGTGAATGAAAGAATGACAGAGTGATAGAACAAACAACGGAATGCTAAAACAAACAAACAACAGAACACACACATTAAAGGGTGAACAAACGATTGATTAATAGATACAGTAGAAAATAAGAGTGATAGAATAAAAAACAGAACAAATGACAACAGGCAGGCAGAATGAAAGTGGAAAAAAAGACCAATAGATAACAAATATACAGAATTAAAAAAAAAATTCAGACAGACTGACAGACAGATAGAAAGAACAACAGAAAGATAGGAGGAATAAAAGAACAAATGATTACAGACAGAATGACAGTGAAAAAGAAATACAGAAAGACATACCAAAAAATATCAACCAAATAAAAAATATATATATACTGAAAGAATGACAGCATGATAAAACAAACAAATGAACAAAAACAGAACAAATTACACAATGAACAAATGACTGATCAACAGATACAGTAGATAACAATAGAATGATAGGAGAAAAGACAGAACAAATGACAACAGACAGGCACAAGAAAAAACAAATAAATAAATAAATAAAATGGAAAAATAGATTTTTTTACAGACAGACAGACACAGTGGATAGACAGATTGATAGATATACTGTTTATATAGATATATAGCAAGATTATATATAATGTAAGACATGAATACCTTTAGGTACTTTTTGTAGTTATTATAAACGACAGCCAGAAAGAAGGACATGAAGGTATAGGTGTTGATAACAATATACAAAATGAAGAAAATGGTGAAGTAAACACTGGAGTTGTATGCCGGCATCCTACAAGGACAGCAGTATCAGTCTCAAATAGTAAAAGATTTCACATAGAACAAAAAACATAAAAGGTAAAAACTAAAATAACTCGACTTACATAACATCAGGGCTATTAGCAGTGGTCACTAAAACATAGAGATCAAAAACAATATCCATATAATCTGTGAAATATGGAGAACCATTGATGGTAAGAAGACCCCTGGGAATAAGACAAATAAAAAAACAGGACAAGCTGTTTAGTGGGTTATTAAAAACATTGGAAAAACCAAGAGTATAAATGCATTATTTTTAGATTTACCTTTTTCCAAACAATTTAAGAGCCATGAGAGAGAAGACCAACACACTGAACATGAATAAGAAAAAAACATAAGAGATCTGAGGCAGTGCATTGCGGATACTCCTGAACGCCCTCCGCAACTACAGAGAACGAGAGAGAGAGAGAGAGAACAGGTGTAAGACTTTTGTGCCTTATGGACATTTACATACTACTATTCAAATGTAGAATATATACATTTTTAAATGTTAAACACTTTATAAACTAAATAATAAACCTGAATAAATAATAAAGGTATTTACACCCCCCAAAAAAGGTTATTTCTATATTTTTCTGTAGCATGTCAGTTTGATATATCAATTTACATTTCCAAACATTATTATTGAATGTAATTATACAGTGAGATTATTGTCTGCATAAAGAGTCTGACACCAGCCAGTGCTTTACAGAGATCTGATCATCATCCATTCTGTCTGGAATGACATGAAGAAACAAACGGAGACAAATTAAATCTAGAAGAGCTTTGGCAACATCTTAAGATGCTTCAAAAAACCTACAAGGACAAGTGTTTATATATATATATATATATATATATATATGTGTGTGTGTGTGTGTGTGTGTGTGTGTGTGTGTGTGTGTGTGTGTGTGTGTGTGTGTGTGTGTGTGTGTCTGTGTTTATATATATACAAAAAGTGCACAGAGATTCCATGTCTTAAAAACATTTTTCACTGGACAAATTAAATGAATTAGTTTATATGTCTTTAACGTTAATGGTTAAAAAGTATTTACTAGGTAAGTTCCAAACTTTTTTCCACTCAACTTATTTGCTCAAATAAGAAATTCCATAAAGACTGGCATTTAGGCAACAATGTGGTTCTGCATAACTTTTTAATGTAACAGTTATTAATTTTATTGTCTGTAATTTTCACACCATTGATTCTTAACTGATTAGTATTTAAAAGATTTGATTCAGAGGATAAATTACAAGACAAGAGCTGAACAAGTCCATTAGGAATTGCATCAAATACTATTGCAAATTCTTTAGCAGTTATGAGGATCTTGTAATAACTGAGAAATTCACAATAATAAAAAGTTGTCCATTACTTTTGAATAACTGTCTCACCAATACAATATCATTACTGTTACATATTACTGATTAATGTGGAGAAAAATTATGCTTATAAATAAGCATCCATAGTAAGCATACCGGTTTATGAAGAGAGGAAAGTTTTATCGGCACCTTGTTAATATCAGAGATCTTAAAGAAAATCCAAACCCCCACCTGGTCAAAACTATGGGCAAGTGTACCAAGTGTTTTATATGCAAAGTGTGGTCATTCATACCAAATGTTGATTTGATCTATTTAATAACTGAATTGATAAATAAAATGTATTTATGCATTGTTTTCGAAAGCATCCTCATTTCATAGTGCCTAAAACATTGAACAGTACTGTAGCTTAGCAGGTAGGTTTTTTTTTAATAGATTAAAATAGCAAATAGCAAATATGAGAGTGCACTTAAGAATGTTTCTAGCCAAATATTTACTAGACAATATCTTAAATTTAAAAGATGAATGACTAAGCAAATTAACAAAGTCAATTAGTAAAAAGTTGCACGAGGTAAATAAATGAAAGAAATGCATATGCTTAAAGCCTTTTGTCTGTGGTTTGCTTACTTGTCGTCCTTCTGTAACATTGACTAAAAGAAGTGGTCTTAAGACTCTTGACCATCGAATACCATAGTGCCCTGTCGCTTTCAGAGCTCCATATATAACCATATCTATAAAAGAGAGCTGTGAGACAGAAAAAAAAATAAATACAGTGACACAGAAACTCCACAGCTTGTTGGACTGCACACATAAACCTTCTGCCTGACTTTACTAAATATCTACTCATAGTCAGTAAATGCTACATTTCCTGGTGATCCTGCAGAACTGCTGAGAATAACAAAAATCATGGGCTAAAGTTCATTTCACAACACTGTTACGAGAACATTCTCAGCATCGTCTCATGTTTGTACAGACAAAATATTTAGGCTAAACTCTTTGGTTCTACGTACAGTATACTATGTAAATTTCATATTATTATATAGACAAGAAATATGTACATGTAGATAACTTGGAAATTGATTCATTTTACATTATGATTAAAATATATCATTTAGATTAAAGGCTTACCGTTACAATGATTATGATGCAGATGTTTTTGGGATCCTTCCAGAATTTATCTTTTGGTATGACTTTTGCATAGTGTATTATCCGCACAGTGAATGCAGAGAGGCATATGGTCTCAATTGTAGAAGTCGCCTAGAGAACACAAAAATACAAGAAAGTTACATCAATTCAGAATTTAAATAAGATTTTGAAATCAAGTTACTTGGTCGAGCTGGTAGCTGAACATTGTGAACATTTGTTCTAACATTAATAGTGTTAATATTGAGATGGCTCAATGATAAGTTGTATTCTGGTGGCATCAAATTAATTCTATAAATATAGATCTTATATACAAAGCAAACATGTTTAAGGTGCAGAATGTAAGTTTGACACCAAGTGGTAAAACTAGGTATTGCATTCTTGGATCAAAAACACAAGCACGGGTTGCCAGATTGAGGACCCCAGAGTCTGACAATCGAGCCTATAGGCTGATTTAAACAGTGCTCTATATAAAAGCCACGGCACGCGAAGGAACATCAGAAAACTGACAATTATCACCTTAGGTACACCCCTTATGCTTCATTCTGTGTTAAATGCTAACAATACGAGTTTAAATGTCATTTTAAATGACATTTATTGCCATACTACTGAAAGCAGCAGCAGATAGTTCACCTCAGATCTTAATAAAATAAAATTGAAATTTAGTACTGTCAATCAAAACTTACATTTATCAGTGTTTTAGCATGTACATTTAATATTGTTAAAGAAGGTTAATATGTATTAATTAGATTATAAACCTTACAATTTGCTGAAGTGAGTGCATTTTCTGTGCGTCTGAATGGCTGTATTTTAATTTCTGTCGTGTTTTGTCTAGTGCAAACAGCCAAATTGCTCATCACTGGAAATCTCATCATGTAGAGTGTTGTTAGGACACGGGGTTACAATGTAACCTGCTAACCTAATGTTTACGAAGGTAATATTTATATTATTTGCTAATTAATAAAGTCATGTAAACTTTGAAGCTACGTCTCATTTCAGAGTCTGCTACTGTCCACCGGAGGTCACATTTCGGTCACGAGAGCATGCCTTGACAGCCTATCTGGATGAAATACACAGTTTTCCATTAAGGCAACCCCGGGTGCTGAAATATAATTGGATAAACGGGCATTGGGCGGGTTAAATGACTAAAACAAAGACAGTGTTCTGGCACTGAAGCCCTTTTTTAAAGCAGAATATCTGACTTCAGCACTGTTTTTCAGATAAACAACAATGTTCACTTGGCATGTTTCCTAAATATCTGCAAACATATTATGGTTTTATGCTTTAGAAAACTTACACCCAGCACCTTTAAATGCAAATAAAGTGTCTTTCTGCAAGTAGTGTCTTTTTGAACTTAAAAGTTTCAGTACAATGAATGAATTTCATTTTATTTTCTAATGTTTGTTACTGCTGTCATTTTACTCTCATTAACATTATTAAAACTCATGATGAAGATTAACTACAATGCTGCAATATTAATACTTTCTCCTTTTTGGCAAAATGTCATAAATATAATAGATGAATATGTAAAAATGTAACATTTTTCCTGACCTGGAGTCTCATTTATTAATCTGGTGTACACACACAATGGAAATGGAAAAATGCATCCGCCACTTCCGATGCAAAGGTTGTGATTTATATATAAAAAGAAATTGACAGGAGAATGTGAACAGTTGTAAGTCAACTCTAAGTAAGCATATTTAACTTAATTATTGACACTTCTAATCATATCAGCCATAATCATCATTAACAAATCAATTTCAATTATTCTGGCATTTGTTCACTTTTAGGAAGGTTTCAACAAACAATCACAATAAACATTATATTTTAAAAGGTTTTAATTTCCATACAAAAAAATCATCTTGTTGGCAAAACCCTGTGGTTTGAAGGATATTGGCCAAGTATGAAGACAAAAGTCTCCTATGTCATCCAGTGATCACTGTTCTGAATACATCTGACAAAAATTTCTGACATATAAACTGAAATTAATGAGACTTTAGTTGGAAGTGATGGTAAAAGTGAAGATGTGTCTGGTTCTCAAATCTGATTGACTGATAGGTGTGCTATATTTTTTATATCATCAGCACTCTTACAGCCTCTTCACCCTGTATTACTCCGCCCACATGACAAGCAGAGAAATAAGCTTACTACACTTTGACAAATATGGCTGCTGTTAGACAACATAATATACATTTGAGGCTTTTTTAGGTGAGGATGTAGTTGTTTAGATTGCAACTATACAGTTTATTTATAAAGATAGTGCTATTTAAAATGTTTATAATTTTTGAGATTAAGCATGTTGGCCCCCATCAGCAGAGCACAGAAATTGACTGTTGACGTTTTGCCAAATGATGGAGAGAGGGACCGCATAATAAGTACTTAGGGGAAAAAACTACAGCTGAACAAATCATTAAAAAAAAAAGGTAAGTGACATTCTAAGTTGATCTCTCTCTCTCTTTTGTATTTTTGTAGTGCTGTGTGTACACCATAGTAATCTGGTAGTGAATGCCTTACTTTTGGCTTTTTCTGGGTTAATTTTCATCACTTTCAACTAAAATCTCAATAAGTTTCCTTTTTTTATGACCCTCATAAAAACTATAAAAATCTCATGTCCTAATTTAGTGGAAAGTGTTTCAATGAAAAAGCAGATTTTTAAAGAACAGGAATGTTCAGGAAATATCCCATTGTGTCATATCAGGGGGTGGGAAGGAACTGCAGGATGTCATAAAAGCTGTAAACCTTCGTTTATGTTGCTCTTTAAATTATGCATTTGTAGAGTGTGCTAAAAATTCAGTCAGGTCCTTTACATGTTCAGATAGGTACACAAATATGAAAAAAGACTATCATTTTGATTTGAGAGTGTAGAGGTTCATGTATAATATATGTTTTGTTGTTTTGCTGAGCATGCAAGAAATATTCTATCACAAAAATTGGATTAATATTTAAACCCATTGGCTGAATTTATACACATTCCATACTTACCCATATAGGAAGTGGCACAACTGCAGGATCCTCAAAAAGAGCCAAAGCCAGGTTTATGATAATAAACACATATACCAGTGTCTGCATGAACCAATGGTTGTAGAGCAGGTATAGCCTGTGGAATATTTTACAGACTTTATAATATGCAATCCAGTACTAGTCATAGTCATAGTTATATAAATGATTGCTGGAATGTCTCTTACTTCACAGCCTGTGGGGAAGTGTCAAAGAAGATGTTCCTGTTGTACTTGGCATCAGACACATAGACTGTGGCTAGGTCGAATTTCTAAATCATATATTGAAGCATTATGAATAATATTTTCTGATTCATTCTTTAAAGACAAATCATTGAAAAACAAAGTACAAAAGTTTTGACAAATGCATTTATAAAAGCAACAATATTCCATGTAGTATCTTTATCGATATGAAAATTTATCATAAAATCAGCATAAATAACTAATAAATTGGACAATCAACAAAGTATTGGGAAAATTGAGTATTACACAACCATAAAACATAAATCTATTTTATAGTCCATAATTTATTTTACAATTTAAGGACTTTAAACACAATAAAATTAATCACAATAAATATTTTATTACTCATTTTTAAATGGAAAGTATAATTAACTACACAAGTATTGACAATATGGTTTTATAAAAGTATTTTCCATGCATTCACTCAATTAATATGACTATGGTGTCATTAAATCTGCATAACAATTAATAAATTGCATAATTAGACAGTGAAGACTGTGGCTTACCATAAAACATGTCAACTTGCCAATTTATTAACACATATCAATGTTATCCTTTCATAATCATAAATTAAAATGAGAAATATCTGACTGATATACTTATTCGAAAGTGCATAAAGGAAACAGCAGACAATCATATTAAGGCATTTTATTCATGAATCCGTAACATAAAAGGCAAATAACTTCTAAAATTATTGTAGCTAACTTTTCCAGTTCTTCTTTTACTTGACAAACAAGAAACCAGATGTTTCTCCTTTACACACGAACAAACCCAGATTTAAAAGGATCATCCATGATGCTACGTTCAAGACACTTTTTAATCCAAATGAAAACACCAAACATCCCAAATCTAAGATCAGAGAAGCATCTAATTAACCTAAACTCTTTTAAGATACATCTGTTTGAATGTTTACATATCTGCAACACATTGATGAGCACAAGTTTTTTTTTCCTTGAGCATTTTATCCACGCAACATACCTCTGTCATCTGATCTGTAACATTACTGGGGACATGATTTCCTCCGTTAGTAAAACCTTCATCTTTTGTTAAAGTGTGGCTAGTTTTCTCAGTCTTCCCCTCAGACATTTTCCTCTATCCCCCTGCTTGTCCTTACGCAGCAGTTAGATCCAGTTCGCAGGAAATCCCGTCTTGAAAAAGTTCATCTTGCAAACCAAGCGATTTTATTAATCATAGTACGGCGAAGGCCTCGCTGTTACAAATTTATGATCCACGCCTTCATGTCGGCAAAACTGCATAGCTACGTCAGCAAGGCTAAATGAATATTCAGTAGGACAAACAATCTGACCAATCAACTTTGTCTTTGTCTTATAAATATTAACAAGCACAACCTTATATGGGAAAAACGCCCTTCTTCGATTGGACGAAGGCTCTGTCTAATAAATATTCATAAGATGAGCCCTCGCTATAGTAGACTTTGATTTTTGAAAACGTAACATATTCCACACTCAAGGTTGACAACTGTTAACTTTAAACCGTAAAAAACTCTACTGAGGCGAGTGATGTACAACTAACGAGTATGTTAAAGTATGTATCTTATAATTTCTTTAAAGAGAGTTTGCAGGGCTGTGTATTTTGACCGGCTCATGTGACTGAATCCAGCGGAAATAGCGGAGAAGAGCCACAGGCTTACGTTTTTATAGGGACGTCTGTAAGAAAACACACCAGCGGCTCACTATGTACAGGCCCGTAGCCAGCCTGGTGAAAGGGGTGGTTCTTTTTTTTTCTCAAAAAGTGGACCTTTTTGCAGTTATACACCTCAATTTCTAGTTAACTATGATATTTAAATACTGCATTCTAGTTTTTTTTTTTTTTTGCTGGATTAGCTAGTCCGATGTCCTCATAACCACATTTTTTGATGTACTAAAATATTTCCTAAAAAATGCAATTAAAAACAATTAAAACAAGATTTAAAAAAAAAAAATACAAATTTATTACATCACAATCATTAGGAAAAATAGCAATGTTTAAGTTTTTAAGTAAAAAACTGCAGCCTACGATCATTTATTAGACAAAAAAACAAACAAACTGGCCAGCACATACACCTGTCCTTAGTCACAATTTGGCCATTTCAATAAAAATAATAATTAAAACATAATAATAATAATAATCATAATGAATTCTTCAGAATTGTTTTAGTCTCTTTGGTAAAAAAAAGCACATTTGAAAATTCTTGAATATCAACAATAGCCAAAATATATTCCAATTAATTTAATATAGTCCGCTTTTGGTGCTTCACACCTTGCTCGTTTTTATTTTATAAATAAGGTTCAAGATTTAGAATAAAGTTACCGGTAAATCTTTTCTCTGTTTAAAAACAATACAGGACTCCGTTGGGTCTTAAAGTATTTTTCGATAAATAATTTTCATTACTTATGATGGCATAACAGTCAAAATAGGACAAATAAAATCATGTATGAGACAAATTCTGGACCTTTGTCAGTGAGGAAAAGTTGGAACATGTTTTATGCTTATAGTAAACATGTTTTTAATAGAATCGTGGCTGTAAAAGTGCACCTACAGGTGTTTCAGGAGCTGCTCAGATTTTCTCCAGGTCATAATTTAATTTATTTACATTCATTTTGTCAATAAAAATGATTAGACCAATGATTAGACTTAGCATCCCAGATCACCTGCTGAAGTGGTTTGAGCGATCGGATATTTGATCAGAATAAAACGAATGAAGTGAGCAAACAGCCTCATAAACACAGACGTGAAGGGAATATATATATATATATATATATATATATTTAATAGAAATATATAATATAAATTATATAATAAATATATTATATAATAATAAATTACATAAAATAATTAAAAGGACAAATGCTGGACCTTTTGGTCGTGGGGGTTGGTTAGTAGCAAGTAACATGCTATTAGATTATGTGACCGCTAGATGACGTTCTTGCACAATAAGAAGCTTACCACCACTAGGAGTTTGTCAGTCATTCATTGGTAAGAGCCATAGATATGTACGTATCTATGGGTAAGAGCAGTGTGTCCTAGCCGGACTCACTTTCTGTTCTAATGTCCCGCATCTGTCTTTAATTATATTAATCTGTCTCCATATTCTACTGCATCCCAGAATATTACACTGCACCAAAAATGTAAAAATATATGATCAATATATTTAATATGTTTTTGTCCACAGCCTCGCTGTGACGGAAATTCCCGAGCCCCTGTACTCCAATGAGGTGTGCCCTCTCAGCGCTCACCATGATCGCTCGGTGCTGTTGTTTGTACTTGACCAAGGTGAGTTCAATACCTGACAGTACAAGTGGAGCCACGCCAATCTCACGAAGTCCGCTTCGTGAAGCTTCACTCGGGCCCGTCTGTGCTGTAGTTCCTTGCGGTTTGAGTACATAAAGGCAATATCGCGAAGAATATTAAGTGTTTGTTGCTCGAAATGTGCAGCCGAGCAACATTCCAGTGAACACTGGCACGGACTGGTGCCCCGTTAGCTCGTGCACTCCCTGGGGCGAGGCGGCTTGTGAACCCTAGGCAGGGATCATTACAAGCCCTGAGGACCCTCAGGTAAACACGGGAGGCCAGTAAGTTAGTGGCACCCCGCTGCGAGGGTTATGGTGGGTGGGAGCAGCGAGGCCCACTCATCGTCTATTTTAAACTATAGTTTCAAACTTTAGTTTACTATAGTTTAAAATAGAAACCATGGTAACTGTAATGTTTTAACTCTATGTCTGGCTGTAATGTTTTGCTTTGTTTTTCAGCAGAGGTGTTGAGCAAAGAAGGACTATTGAAGACAACTGTCAAAGACAACCGCGGGTTATATTTATGAGCGCGCGCATTATGTTTCCGTGCTGTTTCTGAAAGTTTATCTTGTTTAGATAAGTTTGCAGGTCAAACAAAATAAACTATACTCTTTCTAAACACCTGCCTCGTGTTTTATTTGTCCTCTACAGCAATACACTCTGTCATATAAGTCTGTTGAATGCATTTGTATGCAGCATGGTTTAACAATAAAGTAGTTTAACAAATTAATAGTTGTTATAAATGTACCTTCATTAGTCAACATTTGGTGTAGGTAATAAAAAGTTAATCAAAGAAGTCCTAAGACATAATGGTAATGTTATGGTTGTTACATAACTGTATTTATTATTATTCTGTATGTTTTAAACCAGCAGAATATATCTAACATGTCATGAACTTACTGTTATTCAAGAGTCCGCCTAATAAAAATGTCCTAAGACAAGAATGGGTTTTGTTTTGGTTTTATGTCAAACTCTGTAGGTTTTAGGTTGAATACAGCAGATATAGGCTACCTATATCACAACATTGGTAGTCAGAGTTATTTTAATGACCCAAATCAAGTAAAATGTCTCTTACTCAAGTACTTTTAGCATGCAAAAGTCAAATTTAAGTATATAAAATACAGTTTCCAAATTTTGTCTTGTGAAAATGACCAGTGGGTGGCGAGGTAAAAAAAGTTAATGTCAAGTTATATATATAAAAGAAGTTGAACAAGTTGTCATAATATTTAGCCATAATGCATTTTTCTATACATTTCCATTAGACCTTTTTTCTAAATCTATAACTGGTAAATTGCTCCCAGGTCAATTTGGACTTTGTCTAATGAAGGTGAGGTGCATCTGAAAGGAGATTGTCCTACCGTATGTTCACATTTTTACTTTTGTTTTGCTTTTTTCTTTGTCCTATGTAGTGCTGTCTTTTCTGTATCACAATGACATGATCTGGCAACAAATTACAGTACAAACAGCAAAAATAAGAGTACACTGTTATACTGACAACATGACTAGGCCCACACAGAATCTACGTGCGCAGAATTCTAGATTCTTAGCCCATCATTAATTCTGTTTATTTACTTGTGTAAATGTGTGTAAATCTATATTCAGTTTTTAAATTATTTCATTTGAATTATTTACAATACAGTTTGTACAGTAATATTTTCTGTCTTTTAGTAGGGATATTATATAAAATACTTGCTTTATTTACCAAACAAAGAGGATCTAATTGGATTTGCATTGTAAACATTAAATAAAAGTTAAAAAGGCATTACTTTTTATTTAATATAATAAGGTTTTAGTTATGATACTCCCAAAATAATTCAGCATAAATCTGCAGATTTTTGACACAATTCTGTGCAGAAATAGCAAAATATGTCCAAAGATTCGGTCTGACCCTAAACATGACGGCCTGTCTTCCGTACACACACAAGGCTTTGTCATTCTAACGGCACTGACATATTCATTGAGAGAGGAACTAAGGATTTTAAGCAAGAGACTGACTTTTACAGGTAATCCATGCTGGAGACCTCAATAGAAAATCACAGTGTAATTTATTGCCAACTGAGTCTAAACCTTTTGCATTATATAATTTATACAGTATAATGAACATTCTACCAGCAACGTACATGATCTGTCCCTGGAATAAAAACATAAATAAAGTAAATAAAAAGTATTTTATCATAATCATTTCTAAAATGGACTGAAGATTGATTTCTGTGAGTTGCTCTGTAAAGGAAAATGTCATTCATTTGGTTGTTTGAGTTTTGTTCTTTACAAATGTACAAACCCTGTCATTGCCCTTGTCATTCAGCTCAATTGAACCTACAGCTTTAATATTTTGTTATGCTAAAAATTGTTGTTTAGAAAAAATACTTTAAAAAAAAGCTAAGTTTAAGTTGTTATCATCCACATCAATTTATTAAAACATGAAATTATAAATAAATTCTACAAATAAATACTACAAATATATAATACAAATACATTTACAATTATTGTCCCCACGTTTCGGTGAGTCCTGTCACATTTAGATTAAATTTAACATGTAATGTGCTATACACATTTAAGTTATGACTCGGAAGTGACATAATTTGATGGAGAACCTGACTGTGATCAAGTATGCGTTCCATCATTGAATTTTATGATTTTATGCTTGTTTTTGTATGATTTTTTGAGGAAAACAAGCTTAAGTCAGGCCCTGTCACAATTTCTTTTGTGAAAATGTACGTTTCTGGTAGAATGTCCCAAAAAACAGAGAAAGTAGAACTCGAACGACAAATAATGAAACCAACAACAGTAAAACTGTATATATTTATTTCATACCAAAAGTGATTTCTATAAACGCCATAGATTGAAAAGTCACTGCAAATCTGTGGAAATAAATCAATTTTGTTAATAATTTTTCATAATCTTACGATTTCCCTTTTGATGCAAACATCTATTTGTGTGGATTAAGCATTGTAAATTGACAAATGTTAATTTTAGGTTTAAAAGACAATCAGCATCCTAAATGTTAATGTGACAGACAAAATAGGATTGATCTTTTTTTTGAAAGTTAAAAAGATAGATCACCCAGAAATAAAATTAGCTATTTATTTACTTGACCTCAAGTCTAGCAAGATATACTTTTATAACTCAAATATTTTAAGTGAAACTGGGGTCCTGGAGATTCATAAAATGCAAGCTAGTGACATATTCTGAGTAAAAAACAAACTGCAGGCTGTAAAGCATAGGTCTCAAACTCAATTTCTGGAGGGCCGCAGCTCTGCAAAGTTTTGCTTCAACTCTAATCAAACACCTCTGATCCAACTAAGGTGTTCAAGACTACTAGAGACTATTAAGCAGGTCTGGAGATGGTTGGAGATAAACTATGCAGAGTTGCTGCCCTCCAAGAACTGAGTTTGAGACTACTGCTAGAAAGGTAAAACAAAAATAAAATCTGTAGTTTGACCCATTTAAGTAGAACTTTGTGTTTTGCCGACATATTCACAATTTTGTTAGCTTTAATATAATATTGTCAGCTCACATCTGAGTTTGTGTCAAAGTATCCATCATTACGCGACAGGATTGTTTGTCGGGGCAGTAATTTGAAGGTAATTATGTTGTAAATAATGTCATCAATCAATTAACTACATAAAATTTCATTATATTATCAGAAACTACAGAGTGTTAATTTTGTTTTGCCTGAATATAGTTTTTTGGCTCTTAAAGTGCTGGTAGCTGCTGGCTCCAGAAAAAAAACAAAAACATTTTCACAAATCTTTTTTCTTCACACAAAAGAAGATATTCTGAAAAATGTTGGAAATCGGAAACCTTTGACTTCCATAGTGTTTTTCCTTCATTAAAAGTCAAAAGTTACTAGTTTCTAATATTCTTCCAAATTTTTTCTTGTTTGTTCAAAAAAAAAAAAAAGAAACTCTGGAATCACTTGAATGTGAGTAAATAATGAGAACATATTCATTTTTGAGTGTACTATCCCTTTAACAACAGATTTTTATATCTGGGTGAACTTTGAGATCATCTTTCAGCCCTGGCATGGCATATCAAAAGAAACCATGAAATTCACTAATGAAGTTGATTTTAATTCCTGCAGTTGATGAAGATAAAAATTATAGTAATAAAATAAATTCAATATAAAATATATCAAACTCTAAAGAAGGGGTGTCCAAACTCGGTCCTGGAGGGCCGGTGTTCTGAAGAGTTTAGCTCCAACCCTAATCAAACACCTGAACCAGCTGATCAAGCTCTTACTAGCTATACTAGAAACTTGCTGCAGGTGTTTTGAAGCAAGTTAAAGCTAAACTTCACATTTTAAGTCAGATAGAAATCTTTTTTTAAAAATTGTCATAATGTTAAAACATCTGTGTCTGGAGTTGCAGCATACAAGGAGTCGCATATCTAAATCTTATATAAATCTGAAAATTCATAGTTCATTGTTCAGTGCAGGGTTTCTCAACCACGTTCCCGGAGGACCACCAGCTCTGCACACTTTCCATATCTCCTTAAATAAACACACCTGATTCAAATCATCAGCTCATTAGCGGAGACTGAAAGACCTGTAATGGGTGCGACAGACAAAGGAGACTTCAAAAAAACATGCAGTGTTGGTGGTCCTCCTGAAACATGGTTGGGAAACACCGAATTAGTGCATACGATTTCTGTCATTACACTTAACTCCTATGTGAGCATGTGTTTAAAATAGAACTAGAAATGTGATTCATACCCAACTGCAATAAGACAATAACACTCTGATGTCAAATTAATCTCGGAGGATTCGGGTTGGTCCTGACGGAGGAGTAAGCACCAATATGCTTAATGAGATTGGGTTCTACGCTGTGCGCCTTTTCCCCTGGCGTCGATCTGGCTATCCTATAGAGCACCATGTCTTTTGCATTACCCTGAGCGCAGACAGCCTGGTCCAGGTATTCGGCAACCCGAATGGAGGCATTTCCTGGATAAAGCATAGCAGGGGTGCAGCATTCGGTGGCAGGACACACAGCATACAACTGCGGTGAGAGCCGTCTGAACTCCAGGAGATAATGCCGTCCTGCAAGCTCAGCCACGACCATTATATAGAGAGCTAGAAAGAGAAAATGAGCGGGCGAGAAGGTAAAAGAAAGAGGCGTGCAGTGTAACAACAAAAGGAGGAGGATTGTAGCCCCGAAAACACCAAGACCGATCCATTCTAGGATGCGATATGGCTCTGGGTTCCAGTATCTCTGCAGACGCTCTGGATGGTAGAGCTTTATGTATAAAGAATTAAAGGCGAATTTCCGTGAGAGTAAATTTTTGACTGACGGAAAAAAATTGGTCAATGGAAACGCGTCATCCTCTAGGACGACAACGTTTTTTGGCTTCATCATGTCCCATCCTTTGCGTAGGCAGAAAACGTAATCTTGTTTTTCCCTCTCAAATATGTCGGAAACTTCTCTGCCCTGCAATAGCTCATCTGGAGAACGCCGAACAACCAAAAACTCTTTCTCCAAAAGCAAAGCATCCTCATTTAAAGCAGGACCTCTTTCGACATCACATAGCATGACCTCAGCGCATGCTTTATTTCCACACGTTTTAAGGAGTGTTTTCAGCTGTTGAGCCACCTGTAATAGGTAGTGATAGTCCTTGCCCTCTGATCTTCTGGTTGTCACTACGGTCACCAGGAGATCTGGTTTCTTAATGATCATTTCCAATGCATCATTAGTGGTTTTCGTAGAGGCAGCATTTTCCCAAAAGCGCAGAGCCTCCTGGCCTCTTTCGTAGCTTTCTTGTAGTGCCGCATTGCTCAGCGAATCAAGATATAGAGGTTTTAAAAAATAGTAAGAGTAAAGTAGACGATGGCAGCATATAGGTAGTATCACTCCAAAGGTTAAAGTGCACAAAATCAGCCCTTGAGCTACCGGGCTGGACCAACGAAAGTGCTTGCTGGTACAAGTCCTCCATCGAAGCATCTGTGTCTGATTTAAAATGAGATAGTTCGGTTTACTTCTGCGGTTGTTTCCTTTATACCAATGCTGAAAAGGTCGATGGGGATCTACTTCTGAGTTTACATGCGGAACGAATCACTGTAGCACTCTCATATGAGCTTGATATTTCCAAACACCATCTGTAACTGTAAAAAGAAGAATATGTAGTCATAATCTCATCTTATTCAAGTCAAGTAGTTTTTATTGTCATTTAAACCAGGGGTTGCCAAACTTATCACTACGCGACCCCCCCCCCCCCCCCCCCCCCAAAAAAAACAATGCTATTGACTTACGACCCCCAATATCTTCTCAGGTGGTTATAAATATCTAAACCTTGCACACAACGGCGCACACGTACCAATAGGTCAAAGTCTATTCATCATTTAATTTTAAAGAAAGCCATTCAGAGACCATCCTCCATGTTCAGTTGTGGCCTGTATTTATTTGTAATGTTTATGAGTGCCGTAAAGGTGTCAAAGTTTAACCTAGTGCCATCTAATTAAATATTGTCAGGCCGACAATTTCCATAATTCTGATAAGTAGTCCAAACTGTCTGTCAGCAAATGTAGATTTGTACAACTGCGCACCCTTTCACGCAGATCTGTCTTTTTTTTTTAGACAGGTAATGTTATGTTTTGAAACTCTTTTAGTCATGCCAAGCTTATGTAGATTGTATTGTGCTACGAATGGGCTATGTTCACAGAAGTGTTATTCAGCCACTGAAATCTTCTGGCAAAAGATTGATGTGTCTATTTTCAATTTCACAAGGAACCTTTTATAGCAACAATAATGTAGATTTTTATTCAGTTCAACAACAAAACATCAGTAAACAGCGCTATTCTGCCTAGCCTGCTTTACTGAGGCAAAGAGCATAGAATCACTAAGAGGCGACACTCTAGTGCAATTTGGGAAACAGCCACAAGATGGCGCAGTGGCCATTTTGGATTGAAAACTCCAATAGAACAACAGTATATTATAAGTATGTAAAATAAACTATTAAAAGTGCTGATGATTGTGATAGTAAGTGTTGTTTTGTTGTCTGTCAGGATGTATCTCAGCTTTACTGCGCTTTTTAAGTAAAAAAAATTAAAAACAAAGCAGCTGCTTGCCATTGCGACAGCAATAAGATCCAATGGACAGTCGACCGCTTTCACGCCAAAATGGCTGAATCTGGGGTGTTACTGGGTGCTGCTGATGCAACGGAGTGTTCTATTGAGTGTCGCCTCTTGGTCATTTTAAGCTCTTTGATTGAGGTGAAGTTGGCTTATATTCATATTGATTCATTTTTGAACACTGACAGCCTGTGACGTCATCCTTTTGTTTACCATGCTACTCTGAATATTCGGTCTGAAATAGCTTGTAAGTATGGCTTAGTAATAAGTGTAATTCCAGCACGTCGCTGACCAACCAAGCATACAGTAGTCGCTTTAGGATAAAGCGATCCTTGCATGCATGAATTGCACATTATTACAAGTTTTGCTTGCTAACAACACAACTGAAAGCGTGCTAGATGTAATACAGTTTTCATTCAGAATTGTAGTATTATTGGCGAATGACATGAACTAGGGTTGTCTGCTGTCATCTTTAAGGTGCATGCGTTCGTGTTTCAGGAGGTGTGGCTTTGGAGCAGGGGAGGGACTGTGTTTCAAATACATTATGCTAACCAATTAGCATTTTGGCAGATCACCTACTGCACCTACTATTTTTTTTCTTCTGTAGGTTATTGATTAAAATATGGTAATTCTAATAGTTAAATAAAGTAATTGTGATTTTTGGAAATCACCAAGCGAACCCCAATTTGGTAACCATTGATTTAAACCTTATAGCAGATGCCCATAGTTACATTTCCCCTATTTTTAATCTCCTAGTAAAGATGATTAAATATACAATACATATAGTATATATTTTTGTCAAATTTTAACATATGCATTATGAGTGATTGTTCTATATTTATACTGTAGATGTCTTTTTTTATATAATGGGAAAATGCCAAAAAGGCGTACGTAACAGTTTTGAGGTAAGGTTGGTTTTATATTTACACTTTCGGACTGTCTCCTTAATCATATAATTTCAAAAAAAGTTATATTTGTAAACTCTAAATAGTGAAATCATATTTGCAGCCAATGACCATCAAAAGTACAACAGTATTCAATTGAATAAATAGTGCTAGTGTTGTTTTTAAGTCATATCTAGATGTAATTTCAGACTGAATATTCAAAGTACCATGGTAAACCAATATTGAAGAAGCATGTCACAAGCTGTCATTGAACGAATGAGCGAATATAAATGTTTTGACCTTATTCATAAAGCTTAACTGTTATGTTAAGGTCAATTTGTTATATGCACACTAGTTAAAGATGAAATGTCACATTTAAATTAAAGTGATTTCATACTTTTACTCAAATTTGAACATCAATATTTCAGAATTTTGAGAAACTATTATACTTTCTTTCGTAGAGAAGGTTCGTACTGGAGACAGTATAACACATGGTTGACATAACTCGGGGAGACAAGCTTTAAATACATATTTGCTTTGAAATATTATATATAGAAACTATTTATGTGTAACGTTATATTTCGGTTTACTAGGAATTATGTCGACGTGTTACGAAAAACGTCTACTATAACACATTATAAAAGTTCGTGAGAGCTTTTTATATGCATACAGTCACAAGGCACTCGGAAAGAGCAGCAGAAGCTACTCGTGTAGAAAAAAAGTACAACAGGCTAGTGAACAGGCATGTGTAAATAAGAAGACAAACCCGGAAGCAGAATGTTATTTAGCGGCCCGTTAAGTAAAATAACAACAAATGGTAGCAAAGCATAAACTATTTTAGCATTTCTACGTTACCTCTCATAATGTGGATGTTCAGCACCCAATGAATTCTCAACAGCTGCCGAGAGTGAAAGGGAGGCCAAAGATCAGTTTTTTAGCCTAAGTACTCAAATCAGTTCAAAACAGTAACGTAGATGGCGTCTTACCGTAATACAAGGACAAACTGCGCGTTTAATTAGTGATGCACAAATGTTGCGCGTTTCTTGCTTAGTGTTTCGAATAAATATACATATAAAAGTGTACATTGTGGAAAATAAAGGTAATACTTTTATGGATTCAGTTCGTATTTCACAGCTCAAGGTGAAAACGACTTAAAAACGATGATTGGTTCGTCACTAATAACGCTGAGTACAGTAACCAAAACCACGTGATAACGTCTTCATGTACTGTACCACACACTAGCCACTAGATGGCAATGTGACATTAAAAAAAAACAGGCAGCTGCGTGGACTACGTGATACTCGGTAAAATATTTCTCAAATATAAACAACGTTTGTAACGTTAGTAAGTTTTATGATTGAGTGCCGAAAACGTTCGGACAAAATAAGCGAAAAAGCTCTTGCAAAAAGTGGTAAAGCAGAGCAAGTACGTTTCGTGACTGAAAAATCTGCAGAACCTCAACTGTAAGTTACAATCAATAACTTGGGTGTAATCAGTCTTTTTGGAAATGTTTTTATTTGTCATTTAATAGAAATGAACCGTGGTGTTACTACAACAATCATGGGTTAACTATGTTTAATATAGCAAAACCATAGTAACCACAACATTTACGATGGTTTTTACCATAGCATTTTCATTAAACACATTAAAACTATTGTTTTATAACAGTACTATAACCTTAGGCCCATGTTTTAAAGTAAAACCATAGTAGCTTTTAACAAAGCAAGTCAAACCATAGTAAGTATAAATCAGAGTTCCCATGCTTCTTGAAAGTACTTAAAAGTATTCTTATTTCAGACATACAGTATGGATTCAAGGGCTGCAAGTTCTTAAAATCAAACACATGCCATTGAAAGTGCTTGAATAAAATTAGAAATGAAATTTGTTTATGGTTTTATTTCAACATTTTTACTCAATTGTCAAAAACTAAATAAATAAAAAAAACTGAAAAAGTCCTTGAATTAAAAACCTTACATTTAAATATTGTACAATAGCACTGACATGTTATCAATATTTCAGAAACTGCATTTGAATATAACCAGTATCGAATTCAACAAATTTGATTAAAGTTCTTTAAACATGACTTTTTAAAACAGTCAAACTTTTTGAAAATCACTCAACGTAAATATTAAGTGTAAATGAAATGTTAAGTACTTTCATTGTGCATATGGTGCTTGTTTTTAAACGAATGGTGCTGTAAAAAGTAATCCAAAGTCCTTGAATCTGCTGTTCATGAAAGCGTGGAAACCCTGATTAATGTTAAATTAAAATAAAGTACATTTACTATTGATTTTATTAAGTATTTGCAATCAAACTATAGAATAATTACTATGTTTATTGCTGTAAAACCATGAGAAACAGAAACCTAAACATCTTACTACAATAGTCATAAGACCCTCCCTCCCTCTCCCTGTCCCTCTGTGTGTGTGTTTTAGGAAAAGCGTAGTAAATACAACATTAACCATGTTTTTACAACTGTTCGAGCTTAAATACTGTTGGAGTAAATCTGTGTAAAAACCAGTAAATGCCACTTCATAAGCCCTTATGACCACCTTTTGCCACTACACATGGCATAGGACTGCAAGAATATTTCATTGATTAGCTGCCGTGTGTGAAACTGAATTCTGAGTCATGCTCTGACGCTCTGACTCATGTTCTCTTCACCTGTGTTCTACTTAAACACAATGAAATCGAACCCACCCAGGTAACCAGATCACAACTTATTATTATCCAAACGGTAAAACGAATGTTGCAACATATTTTTCATTGTTTCGTAATAGTTTTTGTATTTAAATACCATAGCTATAAGTCAGCAGGGCAAATCTAATCAAATAAGTGATATTTTAAATACACTTTATTTCAAAATAGTTTCACCAATATTTTGCATTGACATATAATTAACAAATATTGCACCACCATGAGCACAGATACTGGCTTGTTATTATTATTTGATAAAATGTTGAACGCACAGTGGGTTGTTGTGTCATCAAACAGTAAATAAAACTTTCCTGACTATTTTTAAAAAGATCAACAACCATCAACATTAATAAAAAAATATGATGTATCAATCATGATAATTATTAGACAAACAATAAACAAGTGTTTGTCCTTCTCACACAAATGTCTAGAAAGTAGAAACAAAAAAAGCAAATGGGTGGGTCTATCTGATCCATCAAGATGAACAGGTCTTTTTACCCCTAGGTCAGCTCTTTAATAAAGCTCATCTTCATTTCTTGAGCATTCGTTCTACCTGTGCTGAAAGGACACACATATGGCAACCAACACAGGCCAGATGGGTTTCTTACCAAGCGGAGGGGCAATTTTCTGCACCATTCCTGACATCCTCTACCTTCCAGAGCTCGTGAGTTGATTTTAATCTGATGTTTGAATGCTTTATGCACTGCACTTATTTCATTTAAAGTGTCTATTAAGCATTTTAGAATAAAGGATGTTTTGAAAAATTGTATTTTGTAATGTAGATTCAAATACTGATCTGTAAAGTTGTCTTATTTTCGTTAATTGGGAAAGTAATTATTTTGAAACACTGTTTATTTAATAGTCAAGATTTATTCTGGAGAATAAATGGTTTATTATGATGATATGTAAAAATAAAAGAAAGGAAATTAAGCAAATGCAAAATTTCATATAATAAAACCGTAAATTCTCCTGAATGATAGTTTTTTTAAAAGAATAACTTTCCAAATTAACAAATATTAGATAATTTATCAACTACCATCAACATTATTCAAAATTATTATGTGTCGCTCAGAATAGCAATTTGACAAACAAGTAAATAAAGGTTTGTTCTTGTCACACAAATGTCTTGCAAGTACTGAAAGTAAAGCAGATGGAAAAGGGTGGGTCCATCAGCTTACTTAAAGTGATTTTTATTATTATTATTAATATTATTGATACAGAAAAATAAGTGCATATGTAAAAAGTATACGCATGTCATTTTTAAGTGTTAAACCAGCCAAATGTTGTTCATCTAACAAATGTTACGAAATTGCTCAAAAAATGAAGTGAACTCTTCAACAATGCAATGTAACACCAAGTGTTCCCTTTATTTTTTGAGAACTATATATTTTTATTGTATGTTATATATGTTAATGCAATCTACATTATTTTATTTGTATTATATTTGTTTTTTATTATCATATTTTCATGTTTTACATTTGAAATTAATTTTTTTACACACATTAAAACTACACAAATCTGTAATCACAAAAAAGTTTAATAGACCAAATATCTCTGATAATTATCAGAAAAAAATTAACTTTCTTTTTCTATTTGATGTATTTTGTTGTTTATGTTGATATCCAAGATGTTTACAAGCAAAATCCGTCATAATTTTCATTATGTATGTAACTTCAAGAACTTTTTTTATTATTTTTATTTTCCAGATCTTTGGCGGCCTGACGTTGTCACTGGTGGCATCTACGTACCTCATACCTTACAACCCTCAGGCTTACGTGATTTCTGTGACAATATTTTGCTTCATCGTTAGTTTCTTCTGGTTGATGGTGTTTGCCTGTGGCTCTCATCGAAACAAAAGCTCCTGGGCAAGCGCAGTGAGTTAATAATCATTACAACTTCACTTTTTAACTCTTACCACTTTTCTTGTATTTCGTCTTATTTTCTTGATTATCTCTCCGCAGGATGTAGCATACCATGGATTTGCCACAGTCCTCTATCTCAGCGCATCTGTGCTTTTAGCTTTGGTAACCATTGGGATTGCTCAAATACAAACCGAAACCACACTTATTTACCAGCTGGACGTTGCTGCAGTGGTGAGTCCATGTGTAATCCCTTTTTAAATGGGTAAATACAGTATGAATAGAAATACAGTAAAGTACTTGTTGGGCAGCACAGTGTCACAGTGGTTAGCACTGTCGCCTCAAAGGAAACAGGTCCCTTGTTCGAGTTCCGGTTGGGCCAGTAGGTATTTCTGTGTTTGCGTGATCTCCCCGTGTTTGCATGGGTTGCTCCAGCGGTTTGCCCCACAGTCCAAAGATGAGTAAAATGGGTAAACAAAATTGGCTGTAGTGCATGAGTGTGTGTGTGTGAATGAGTGTATATGGGTGTTTCCCAGTACCTGGTGGTGACTGGAAGGGCATCCACTGTGTAAAACATATGCCAGAATAGTTGGTGGTTTATTCCGCTGTGATGCTCCCTAATAAATAAGGGACTAAGCCAAAGGAAAATGAATGAATAAATGAATAAAGTACTAGTTAAACACGAATGACGTGAAAGTGTTTAGCCGGGGCGTGGCACCTATGTCAACATCTCATGGGTGTCATGGACTAAAGTGATAAGTGATGGGGCGTGACAGTGGATTGCAGACTAAATTGAATCGAGCCGAGTGGGGAAGGGTCTAGATGAATATTATAAGAGGGGAGAGAGTCGTAGAAGCAAGTGAAAATGAGGGGGGGGGATGTTTGTTCCGCCTGACGAAAGTGTTGGAGGGAGAGTTGGATGGAGTTAGGGGTTTTTGGTGGGTGGGGTGGGAAAGTGGAAAGTGGGAAAGTAGAATTGTCCTAATTTCCCACCTATTGCCACCCCTGTCTTCAGCCTTACCTTTGATGGACAATGGAAATAAATATTCCGAAAAAAATCTTGATTACCACACTGTAAAACCCAAAAAGGTAACTCAAACCATTTGAGGAAATTGATTGCAACAAACCATTTAAGTTTAAAAACTAATCCTAATGAGTACTGTGAACTTACTCCATTTGAGTAAACGAAACAATTTGAGCACAGTAAAACCCAATAAGTTAAGGCAACTCAAACCGTTTGAGGAAACCAATTGCTACAAACCATTTGAGTAAAAAAAAAAAAAAACTAATGTAAATGAGTACTGTGAACCTATTCTATTTTAGTAATGAGGTATTAATTAACTCATTACCTTTAATACTGAGTTCAAAACTCTTTTCAAATAAGTACAAATAACTTTCTGTAAATCGAATTAACTACACTCATTTTATTTGATAAAGTTGACTGTTGTGTTTTACAGTGCAAGATTACCAAAGACACATTGTACAAAACTCATCAAAGTCAACAGTACACTCCAAAAAATATTTTTTGCTGCTTGTTCAAACAACTAAAAATGAGCTAAATCAACATAGTTCTTGAGTTTTGGGGGGACAATTAAATTGTTATGTTAAATCCACTTAAATTAGTAAAAACAGTTAACTTAATTTGTACTAACATAAATGAATTGAATGGAATCCAGCATTTTTACAGTCTATTGACTTTTGTGTCTTTAATTTCAGGTGTTTTCCTTCCTGACCACTTTGCTGTATTTCATCCACACCATTTTCTCAGCCATCAGATGGAAGTCTTTCTAAAAACATCTGCACTCTGACCTCACAACTGACCTTTTAAGCATGATATCTTCAAAAAGCAAAGCAAAAGACATTCAAGTGATAATAGTGTAAAATGCCTGTTTGCTCTTCACCTTTTAAGTGCATATACTATGAATTTTCTAAAACATTTTCTGCTGGTATTTGTTTTGTAAATTGTTCTCACCTAAAGTATAAATTATTACAAATATGACTTGTATAATAAAGGAAACAATTAATAATCTCTTTGGTGTGGTGCTTCATTATAAACAAGAAAATCCTCCTTTATTGTTAAATAAATGATTGTTGATTTTTACAACATTCTACTTGATTAATGTACCGCCATATCAGTCGTTATAACCATTCGTAAACAAGTGTTTGTCACGTAAATGTCTAGAAAATACTATAAATAAAGCAGATGGGTGTGTCCTTATGGAATCCATCAGATCTGTCAAGATGAACAGGTCTGTCTAGCATTTTTGTCAGCTCTTTAATAGAACTTGTCTTTTGAATTCCTTAAACATTTGTTATACGTGTACTAAAAGGACACACATATGGCAACCAACACTGGCCCATTGGGTCACTTACCAAGCGGAGGGGCAATTTTCTGCATCATTCCTGACATCCTCTTCCTTCCAGAGCTTGTGAGTTGATTTAATTTGTTAAATGCTTTATGCAGGCTATGCTCCTAACTTAGTTTGTCAAAGCAGCTTAACATAGACATTCTGGTACATTGAAAATGTGTCACTCTAGTTTTGAGAGTTGAAGTTCAGTTTAGTTCAGTTCAGTGTGCTTTAATTTTCACTGCAGAAAGTCCAAATACTGAAGAGAAATCTATTGATGCACACATCCCAACCAAGCAAGACAGTGGTGCCAATTGAATTTAAGTTTAGTGCAGAATCTAATATCTGTTCTAATAACTTTTTAAAGGAGATTTTGTGGTTTTATAATGATGATAAGAATGTAAAAATAAAATGTTAATCCAAAGCGTACACTATTAAAGTCAGCTTATTTAAAGTAATTTTCTTAAAAACTATTGATTAGGTAAATAAATACATACTTAAAAAGTGCTAATCTGTCATTTTTAAAAGTGAAAAACCAACTAAAAGTCACTGTAAAATGTTAGATTTGTATTGTATTTTATAATTAAAATGATTGTATAATATTTTACATAAAAAATTCAAATTAAAATAAAAGGTTAAACTGAAAGAAAATGATAACATAAAATAAAAGCACACACATCTATAATCACCAAAAGTGTCCAATAGATCAGGTATTACTAATACATTTGAGAAGCTTTCATTTTCTATTTCATCTATTTTGCGTCATATTTCCATTTGTCCAATTCAGATGTTTACAAAAAACAGAGGTTTCCATCATAATTTTCATTATGTACATTAGCCTACATTTTCTTGATCAGTAACTTCAAGAACGTTATTTATTATGTTCATTTCTCAGATCTTTGGCGGTCTGACGTTGTCACTGGTGGCATCTACGTACCTCATACCTTACAACCCTCAGGCGTACGTGATTTCTGTGACAATAGCCTGCTTCCTCACTACTTTCCTGTGGTTGATGGTGTTTGTCTGTGGGTATCATCATAACAGAAAATCCTGGGCAACCGCAGTGAGTTAATAATCTCTTTACATCTTCACTTTTTTAATCGTTTCTTTTGTGTTTGATCTTATATGTTTTGTTAATTTTCTCTCTGCAGGATGTAGCATACCATGGATGTGCCACAGTCCTCTATCTCAGCGCATCTGTGCTTTTAGCTTTGGTAACCATTGGGTGGAGTCAGCCAGATAACATGTTTTTCCTTATTTACCAGCTGGACATTGCTGCTGTGGTGAGTTTGTGTAGTCTCTTTTTAAATCGGTTTTACCTGTTAAATAAAAAACAATTAAGTAACGGTGAAATATTTGAACACGAATGAAAAAGCATTAATTTACAAAATCTTAAAAATTTACTGCACGTTTTAAACGTTGAAGTCTAAAGTATGTTGACTCTCTGTGTGTCTTTAATTTCAGGTTTTTTCCTTCCTGACCACTTTACTGTATTTCACCCACACCATTTTCTCAGCCTTGCGATGGAAGACCTACTAAAAGTAGCTTTTTAACTTATTTTGCAAACCAAATGACTGCTCAACTGGCCTTTAAAGCATGATGTTTGCAAAAAGTATACTGAAAAATGCATTTAGTTCATCAGCAGTTATTCATGTGATAAATTTATGTAAAGTTTATAACAGTTAAGTTTTTTCCCTCTTCCTTTTCATCATATTTTTTTTGTAAATTGTTCTTATCTCAAGTAATGTTTTTTACATTTATGACTTAATTAATAAACAAAATAATAAACTATCTTTTTGGTGTGGCGCTTAATTATATAAACATATATTTCTTTATTTTTAAATGAAAGGTTAGCAAGATTTTTTTTTAAACTAACTTGCTATTTACAAGATTCTGCTTTTACAATACCACCATAAAACTACTTTTTACTGGGAAAAAAAGACAGACAAAAGCAAAAAATAAATAAATAAATAAAAATGCAAATGTGACACCCTGAGGGCGTCGTGGTTGATACCATAAGCTATTTTTGGAGCACTCTTTAGCATGAAGTTATGCGGTTGCTCAAAAAAAAAAACGAAACATTTGCTGTTTGTTCAAACTATTTTTTATTTGTATTTGTTCAAACCACTTATTTAAAATAAGCTAAAACAACACACTTATTGAGGGTTTATTGGGACAACTTAATTTTTTTATGTTTTCTCCACTTAAATTTGTAAAAACTTAAGTTAATTTAATTCCTTCATTTTTTAGTGCTGTGGTTTGGTGGCTTACACGTCAAAAAGACCTTAAAATATTGTTTCAAGGGCAGCATGATGGCTCAGTGGTTATCACAAACATCTTACAGCAAAAAATTTCACTTGTTTAAGTCCCAGCCAGTTGGCATTTCAATGCGGAGTTTGCCTTTGTTTTATGTTAAATCCACTTAAATTTGTAAACCATTAAGTTAACTTAAGCGTTTTGTGTTGGTTCAACTACCTGGTTAGGGGATTTGTAGTTCAGCATACTTTGTGTGGGACTGAATTAAGATTGTGAAATGTTGACAATAAAAGTAATCTTATGTGTTTAAAGTTAATAGAAAGACTTGTTAGAGTTTAATCTTCACTGTAGTTTGAAGATTTAGAAGATTTTCATGTAATGCTTTGAGATTTGAGATTACAACCTTGCTGAAGCACCCATGCTGGGTGCATCATGGGTGTTGGCAGCTTAATTAGCAAAAATGCAGTTTGTTACTTTGCTCATAAAAATGAGTTCTGAGATCAGTCTGAATCAACTGTATATGTAACTCATGAAATATGCTTAAAAATGGCTCTTTTAGTTCATTTAGGATAACTAAAAAAAAAAAAAAAAAAAACGAAGAGACTTCGAAATGTACGACATATAATAGACACACATGACCTTTGAGTTTAAGTTAAATAAAAATACAAATGTACTTAAACTTTTATTTGATAAAATCATGTTGGACCAACTTGATTGCATTTAATTGTGTAAACAGTTTTTTTTTTTTTTTTAAGTTGGTGGTAAACAAATTTATTGGATGGAAATCTTGCCCTCAATTAAATTTAGTTCATCCAATTGTTTTTTTTTTTTTTTTTTTTTTTGAGTGTATATGTGAACTGGATGAACTAAATTGGCATTGTTTTTTCAAATGGGAGTGTGTTACCCAGTTCTGGGATGCCGCTGGAAAGGTATCCGCTGTGTAAAACATGCTGAAAAAAAAAAAAAAAACGTTTATTCTGCTGTGGCGACTCCTGTTAAATCAGGGACTAACCCAAAGGAAAATGAATGAACGATTGCCTCTGCATTAAATGTCCTCCAGGTCGACTAGGTAAATTGCAAATTTTTCCTCAACAATCAGCTTAATTTGCAGCTTTGCCTTAGAAGATCACAACAAATTCAGTCATTTTTAGCACTGCAGGTTTCCACCAACTCCATTTGTCTGTTCTTTGTGGTCTTGGTTAGTGGTCATCAGTGATTAGGCTGTGGGTATTTCTTCATGTCTAAGATTAAGTTGTTGTCAGTGTGTTATCGCTGTGTTATTAGATCATTGCTGGAACCACTCCAGAGTCTAGAGCCCAATTTACACCTGGTCTTAACATTACATTCATTGATCTGATCACAAGTGTTCTGAAGAGATTCATTATAGTTTCCACCTGGAATTAACCTGCGTTCAGATGCATGTCTTGTTGTCACTCCTGTTGTGGTTTCATTAAAACCCTTCCATCTTAGTTCATCTCATTCCAAAACAGTTTTGCAAGAGTGCTCATTGCAACACAAGGATACTACTAAATGACTGCTCTCACGTTACTCACAGTGGACTTCCTGAATTTTTTTTGTTTCATATCCAAAAAAAATACCTAAAGCACAATGCTGTCTTACCAGTTGCAAAACAACACCATTCAGTGTGGATTTGTGGCTGGTTGTTGACAGTTGCTGCTCTCCAAATACTTTCCAACTTTCTCTATACTCTCTTTTTATGTTCATTACATGCTATTTAGAAATGTCCAACAAAATAAGTGCTTTGTTATGGGAAAAAAATTAAATATACTGTATCATCCCAGGTCAACATAGTAGTAAACATTCACTGCGCTGTCTCTAATCACCTTGCTTATTCTGGACTTTCAGTCAAATCCATGCTAAATTCACTGTTTATAAAATAAAAATGGCTCCTAATGATTATATAAATGATGCTTCACTTAAACAGAAAACCAAATAAACATCAGCAAAGTTGGCTCATTCTGGGGTGCGTTTCCGAAAACCATTGTTAAGGTTGCTAGCTCCGTTGTTACAAACATAGTTTGTCGATTTAGCATTTCCCAAATCCGTTGTTCCAACAAACATCCACAAATTGCGTTGCGAACTTGTACGCTTGCAACTAAACCTCCAGAGTTCTTGGTTGTGTTCTATTTCCAGTAATCCCCCCTATGCCCTATTCGTTTAGAACATTATAACATTTAAATTTGGAATGATTAAAAAAAACAACAACATTGAAGTCATCTCTTTTAGGTGCAGTGGTGGAAAGAGTACTGAAAAATCATACTCAAGTAAAAGTACAATTACTTGCCTAAAAATGTAGTGTAGGTATAGAGTAAAAGTATCTGTTGTAAATATTACTTAAAGTATGAGTAAAAAGTAGCCATTTCAAAAGTACTCAAGAGAAGTGAGTAGTGAGTATTATGCTTTTAAAAGCTGATGCGTTTTCATGTAATTTGTGCATGTGTGTGTAAACGTAACATTCTGTAGTGCATCGAGTTATTCCCCAGCAGGCACACAACATCATAAGACATTAACATTAGGTTAGATTGTCTAGCCAGTGTTTAAGGAAAACGTTATTTGTTCAAACACAACATCAAATGACGTTGATATTTGGTTGACTTTAGTTGTGTTGGAAAGTGACCAAAATCCAATGTCGAGCAAACATCCAATGTCATTTTGGCATCACATGCTGACACTTCCATGATTTTCATGGAAAAACAAAATGCATCATCCCCACGACACTGGTGTACAACTTCATTCTGACATCATGTTGACATCTTGTGCCTGCTCTAAGGCCATTTCGATCCTCATACAGTAAACATCCGTCATCTTCTCATCAGTGACATGCATCTTAAGAGTCTCTTGGTCAATGCAAGATTTTGGGAATCTTGTACACTTTTAATGCTTCCAAACAATTTGCTGCAATTATAAAGCGCATATATTTTGAGGTAGGGTTGGATATCGTTTGGGGTTATTTCAATACTGGTGCTAAATCGATACTTTTAAAATGGTGCCAAAACGGTGCCTGAACCTTTTTAGCCACTAAATTATTTGACAGAAAAAGATTTTAATCATTATAATTGAACAATATAATTAAATATTTACAATAACTTTAAAGTAAACATCAAATCATATATTATATATTTGAATTGCATTAATATATTTCTTTTGATCAACCTTATTTTGAGGTAGTTCATTTTGATGCGATTTACCTTCTATGTGTGATTTGATTGGACAGGAATCACAGGACTGATTCTTCTAATCTCCATAGACAACAAAAAATAAATTAGTGACTGAAGGTTGAAGAAACGTAGTGGAGTAAAAGCACTGATTACTGCACTAAAAATGTACTTAAAGCAAAGTAAAAAATACACATTTTTAAAACTACTTAGTAAATTACAATTCCTGAGAAAAATTACTCAATTACAGTAAATTGAGTATTTGTAATTAGTTCCTTTACAACACTGCTTAGGTGTAATTTGCTTTCAAAGTATTTTTATAGTTCAGTTTGAACGATCTTCCTATTGACAATTGTGCTCCCTTCTTAGTGCACTTTGAAAACATTTGTCATTTTGAACGCAGCTGTGGCTCATGACAAAAGCTATAGGTGACCTTATTTAAGAGCCGAATTGTATTCGTTTTGGTTTTTATTCGGTTTGAATGTGTCAAATTGTAAAAGTAGAATTTTCAACAAAACGTAAAATTAATAAAAAATATCCTACTTTATAATAATAATAATTATTATTATTATTATTATTGTTTTTTTTTTCATTTCTTAATAAATTGCCTACTGTAAAGTACAATCATTAACGATTCATAGGATTGATATATGAGATTAGAATACGTGTTTGCTAAGTGATTTTGTATGGAATATTCTCAATAATACTTGTAAAGGAATTGTATATACAGTAGGTCCTACGTATACTGTATGTGTCCTTTACATATGTTTCAATTAATATGGAAAACGAGTGCATGTTTTAACTAAAATTAATATTGCAATCTTTTTTTTTTTAAATGTGAGTGTGTAAAACAATGTAATTTGCACAAAAAGTTATGGAGGTTTTCCCTAAAGAAGTAGTTACTTCACCTCGTTTAGAGCGTCATTATGGACATCTTACGTTATAATTAACGTGATTCAAATAATGGATCTGCGACAGGGAAACTACAGTTTTGGGAAAACACTTTGTTACTACATTGTTCTTTTCCCAAACGATGCATCGGACTATGATAGGTCAGCCACGAGTTATGTCAATGTTTGGGAAACGCATCCTCGGAGGCTCATTGGTTCCTCCAATAGAAACTCAGAAACTCTTTCTAGGAAACTTGTATTTTACAATATAAGTGTAGTACAAATTTCAGTACCACACGAAACCAGCATAAATTATGCAAGCTTATTTTAGATCCGAAATGCCCCTGCACACACCTTTAGATGCACCCTTCAAAGAAACAATGCAAGTGACCAAAAGGGGCAGATTAAAAACCAGTATTAATGCTAGGTCATACATAATATATTATGATTGACCAAAATACATCTTAAT